GAAATGCCATAATGTACCCGTAAGCCGTCAGAAGGCTCTGTTCCCGCCATTGCACCTGCTCTCGCAGCTGTGAGCGATTCAACTTCGTCTATTCGAGTCTGAGCATTAGGATTAATCGAGATGAAGCTTCGCACCGATCAAAACCACAAGAAATGCCTCTTCTTCATCGACCAACTCGGTGATGCTGTTGAAAAGACGTTGGACTAGCTTTCCTGATTCTGAAAACCATTTAGAGAAAAGAGAATGAGAATTTATTTCAAGCAATCTAGCTTGAGAATATCTGATTTACAGCTTCAATTATAATATAGAAAAACTTCTGACCAGCGCAACTTACCTATGGGAGAGGCGTATTGACAGTTTTTGGGCCAATGCACGACACAAGGATGTTTTTCCGGTTCCTGGTGGTCCGTGAAGCAGAACTACACGGTTCCAAGAAATGAGATTAACTATTTGAGGTCATATTAAGATGATTTATCCTGATAATTTCCGCAATGAGCACTCACAGTCGACGTTAGCGTCACTCAACACCAAAGTAGCATGAATGTAGTCCAGGAGCTTCATTTTAATGTTATCGGCATAGATCAATGAGTCCCATAGGCCCTCCCAAGCTCTGTTTGGCAATTCGCAGACACTGGCCGCCATAGTGTCGTCATCGCCGTCTCTTACTCCAGCACTATTTGAAAATTCTTCGAAAGTGTCCGAGTCCGAAAGTTGATAGATGTATATTTGAAGGACCATCTCCTCTAATGCCAGAGTATGCGACGGGCAGGTGGACTCGGATACAACGATTTTGTCGACGGATGAAGCAAGCTCTGGAACATCCTGCCAGCCTTGAAGGGTTGAAGGGAGGCTCAGGCGATCGAAAGTTCTGATATATGTGTAAACTGATTCTCTAATCGAGTCAAATCGAGCTGCAGCTCGAGGCTGCAGTCGTACTTCGACTGTAACAGAAATCAACGGAGAAAGTGCCTGGAAACTCGGATTGACGTACCATGAACGGTCCACTTCGGCGTATCCACAGGAGCTTCAGTTTCATGAGATACCTCCATAAGAATGTCCATAAGCAAATACTGCAATTTAATCGTAAAAACTTGAAGTTATGAGCTCGAAGCCAGAACCAAACAACGCGTCAACATTGACAATGAGTTTCGCGGATCAGATCACATGTTCATCTATATTGTACGATCTGGCCGTCATGTCGTGCCCTCTTCCACAAGAAAAGCAAGAAGTATCCGGAACTCTAGCTTCTGTTGATGTCTCCAGCTTCGTGTTTCCTGACCCATCATTGGTTTCTAATGTCACAATCGAGTTTTGCGACAGAGTGCGTTACTACACTATGGAAAGATATGATACTTTCTGACCAATGTTATCTACTCATTCCAGTGCCGATGGTCAGTTATTAACAGTCACTTTTTTTTTCTTAACCTGACAGTGTATTCAGGCTTCATCGAGCAAGCTGGACACAGACCGAACTTCTGCTTACCTTCCCCCCGCCAGTCTTGGGTTCTGTAACTCTCATGCCTCTCAATTCCGAAGAAACCGCAGGGCGTTTTCGCGTATGGCTTTCTTCTCCATCAAAGCCACCATATTTGTTGTGGGATAGAAAGGCAGAAGGTGGTTTTCCGGAGCTGAAAATCTTAGTATGCGTTTTCAATTTCATTCATCTCTATCTCTCGCTCATCCCTTTGTATTTAGAAGCAACGCCTACGTGATCAGGTGCAGCCCGGGAAATCTCTAGGACATTCAGACAAAAAGCCATAAACAAGGAAATATTGAATTTGCTTCATGCCCATTTTATAAGTACACAGCTTGATTTTGCTCCTCAGATACAGCTGCCAACCGAGTCTTAGTGCCATATACATCGTAATATAACAGTGAATCCAATGGTTGTACCGTGCAGATAATAGGCGCGCGTAGGGCGCTGCTGCCGTTCGTGAGTTTCCGCGTACTTGTGGTCAAGGTTTTATTTGAGCAGATAGCACGTTTCGAAGCATGTTACCTCTGCTTCTTCTGGGAGCTTGGCTCGTACCTACTCATGTCTATGGATCAACAAGATCGTCAAAACGACACAGGTCAAGTCCGTAATACTGTCGATACCGTCGCTCAGATCTTCGAAAATGATGAGCCAGGTTTCGTGAAGTTGGCGGGGAATCGGCTTGCGGTTTGGCGCCGGCGGCGTTGTCCTCGTCCACCGACCATTTTCAATCGCCGGAATCCACGACACTATCCTGGAAATCGAACTGACGCAGAACGGGGGCAAGGATTGCGCACGCAGGAGGATAATGCAGGTGCACTTCCGGCATAACTAACTCATTCGCGCTGTTCATAGGGACTTTATGACCCACCGACTCGATTCCCCCGCACAAACTTAACTTGCTCATCTCGCGTCCCGCGTAGTACTAACCCTTCTCACTGCACCTTTAACTTCATCCCTAAGCCGATAGCTATGGTATATAGGACTCGATATGATAGTTGGTTAGTTGAATGGTGATAAGATCCGTGCCACGATCGTCACTGCGAAAGCGCTGACCTTACTGGCAACAAAAATCAACCTGCAACCTCAAGTGCAATGACCAGACAGCCCCTACGAAATTACATTTGATCACCTCCGACAACGAGCCAATCCGACAACAGAAGGGATCCAAAGGCTATCCATCCAACATATAAGAACAATACACAAATACAGCAGAGGCGAGAGCGGGGTTATAAGCACAACTACACAGGTAACCGTCTAAGTGATAAATAAATAGATACCCGGGTGGCGTAACACGCTGATTACCAGTGATTACCCCAACGCGAAACTCAGCGCCGAGCTCGACGGGACCTCGAACGCGCCGGTAGAACCTGGGCCCATCATGCCCACGCCCATATCCATCCCAAACTCGGAAGCGACGACGTAGGCCGTCGTCCACCCTGCGCTCGCGCTGGCGCCCACAGCCATGCCGATCCCCACGCCGACGCCAAAGCCGACATTAAACATCTTGAAATCCGCCGGGGACACGGGTGTTGGTGGCGTGGGCGTGGGCGTGGGCGTGGGCGAGGGCGAGGTGAACAGCGGGCCATGTTCAGATGTTCATGTTGACGTTCATGTTCATGCTGATGGGGGGAGGCCATATGCGGGGACGCCGGGCGCTCCTGGGGGTGCTCCATATTCACATCGACCTCTGAGTCGCGCCTCAAGCTCTCAAAGAACACATCCCAGACGACTTGGTCTGCTTCCTGCGGCTGCGGGACGTGCATGATGGGGACGCCCATGCCGAGGGTGACGTCGCCGAGGACGGTCCTGCCGATCGTGCTCCTGCCTGCGTGGCCGCGTCCCCTTTCCATCCCCCGCCCGCGCAGCTGCGCATCGCCAGGGACAACGCCCCACTCCCACATGGCCTTTCTGGCTCTATCAATCGGAGTTCTTCGTCCAATGACGCAGGTGCCGGTCATCTGTTCTTGAGGTTGAGAGCGGGTATGGTAGAGAGGCGGGGCGGGGGCACGGGGAGGGTGGGGTCGTGGTAGGTATACGGGTATGGGTATTGGTAGGGGTATTGGTAAGTGCGGGGTGGTTGTGGTTGTGGTGGGGGGGATGGGGGTGGGGATGGGGACATGTGTGGCGGGGTATCTTTCGGGTTGTCGAGGGGAACGTAAAAAGCACCCAAGTGTGCGCCGACGCCGCCGCGGGGCTTTGCTTGGGGAGCACGGAGGGTGCGGCGGCCGTCGTGGATGGCAGAGGAGAGCTCTGCGTTGAAGCTTGGGTCGTGGGCGTAGGCTTCTGGATCGACGTCGCCGTCTGCGTCCTCGTCGTCCTCGTCGTCGTCTTCAGCTGGACGGAGCTTCTTGGGAGGGCGAGGGTCGTCATCGTCGTCTTCCTCGTCGTCGTCGTCGTCGGACAACTCGCTCTCGTACTCGCTCCAATCTTCTTCGTCACTGGACATCTTTGCTACGGTAACGGCCGACAAGGGCTTTGGATAGCCATGACGAAGAAAGTAGTCGTCTGCTTCTTGAGCGACGAGATCGCGGATGGTGAGCGGTGTGTATCGTTTTTGGCTGTATAAAAGTGAGTAACAGTCGAGGAAGAAGACAAGGCACTTGCAGAGTATCGACCCTGATGCGACAGGCAGTCTTCCACAGCTTGAGAGAGTCACGCTCACGCCTCGGAGGCTGAAAGTGATATTCGTTGTGGTGATATGGCTGTGGTTCAAACGCATATTGGTAATCAGGTGCTGGGGGAGGTGGAGGGGCAGGCGGGGCAGGTGGTGGAGGGGATGGTTCGACTGGATCGAGTTGGATTGGGGAAGGGGTTGATTCGACGACCTCGACCTCGACCTTTGGTTTCTTCGGACTGCGTTTGCGTTTGGCAGGAAGGGGAGGAAGGACAGGCGGAGGGAGATGGGCTCGTCTGGGGGAGACGCGTGGTTTAGCGTGGCGAGGTGACCTTCTGAGAGGGACCTGAATCACGTTCTCCTTCTTTGGTTTGACTGGCGACAGTGGTGGTGACGACAGCGGTGAACGAGGTGGGGTCGACGATCGTTTGGCTCGGATCGGTGATGCTGCCGACCCAGGCATCGCTATCGAGCCGAGGGGCAGAGCCGGGGGCGGGCCACTCAGCCGTCGTCGCTTGGCTGCCCGTAGAGCCCTTGGAGAGTCGTCTGCAGGAGGAGGCGTGCATGTAGAAACAGTCAAACCGAGCCGAGCACTTCGTCTTGGATGTGCCATTAGAAGACCTTCCCAGTTGGGTCTAGGTGCAAGGCGCCTTCCGTCGAATATGAATCAAAAATAGCTAGAAGGCGAATGGCGGGAACAAACAACAATGACAAGAGAATTTACACAAAAAATTTCACACGCTAAAAAGTCACGTGAATGCGCACGGACTCTACACTGCCTCCACATCTTCTTGTAATCCTTTAGCTTTGATCGTCATCCCAGCACACATCTACAACTATCCATGCATTGGCGCTCCTCACCCACAACGCAACACCCCTCACGAGTATCTATCCCACCAGCACCTCCATGGGGTCTTGGCACAGTGGTAGCGCGCATGCTTCGCATTCAGCATTGCATGAGGTCGTGAGTTCAATCCTCACAGGCTCCAATAATGTGTATGTCTTTCTTTTTCTCCGTACGCTCGACTTCTCTTCATATACAAGCAGCTTTACCTTGTCTTGCCTGACCCACTTGCGTCTCAAATCACTTGAAACTCCACTTTAGTCATTCTACATTTCCCAACAAATATCAACTACGACAACTAGATCCACAACCGTCGTTACTTTTACGCCCGTTCAGAACGCTCTCCAATCTTCTGATACTTCCATCCCTCTTTCGACGGTTTCACCAACACTGGCCGGCCTCCTTTCACTCCATTCCCACCCATCTGCGGCATCAACGCCAAACGCACCTTGTCAATAAACATTTGTCTCAGCCTTTCGTTCTGAGCACTCTCATAGTTGTGACTGATAACATTGTGCTGATTTCCATGTGCATCTATACCCATCGACTGCACCCATATGCCATCAGTTCGAGTATTTCAATGCAATACCAACATACCTGCATACTATCGTGCGTCTCTCCACCCATCGTATACTTGTCTGCCTGAGGCCTTCCTGGTCTGAACGCCTTGATGATCTGTACATCATTTTCAATCTTCAACAGCGACGCGAAATAACGCACATACAACTAACCTCGTTTGCGATTATGACCGCTACCAACTCGTTCAAATCTACCACTGTCTCTGCCCCGTCTACTTCATTCTTGGCATTCCGATACGGCAACTCGCAACCCCCCAAATACTGTCGCAGCGTTACTCTCAAGTCCAACACGTTAAACGAACCCACCTCTAGCACGTCGTCATCGTCCATCATTCTCAGCACCTGTACCTGTCCAACCCAGCCCTTTCCGCACGGTTTCACCGAAACTCTCCAGCATCCTTTGGCTAGGTTGAAAATCTACGTACATCCAAAAGATTATACTCAAACCAACCTTTTCCTTCTCCTTATCAAACTCATCTATAAAGCCTTCAGCTCCGGGAAGCTCGCCAAAGACTGAGATAGAAGCCATGCGTCAATGGGAGGAGGGGGGATGTCGGACGGCGTGTCTCGTCTCGTCTTTTAAAACGTTCGGTTACCCGTGCCTCTTTCATATCGAAACACATCTTTGCCGCATTTGTCTTGAGCTGTATTATCACAATCGCATCCATCAGGAAAATCTGACCTGTCGCTGCCTCGAGGCTGGGATATGTTCGACGTTTGGGCGTTAAAAAGGCCCCCGAAAGATGAACTAGAATGGTTAACATGATGTCCAGTGAGGTTGACGAGCAGGCAAAGATGGCTCTGATGAAATCGGAGGGTTTTGGAGAAACCTGGAGACGATGCTTCTGTGTCAAGACCCACCGAAGAGGATTTCACGAACAACCTTGAACTTGAATTTAAAACAAAGTACGCTCGATCTCAATCTATACACAGAGCATACAGATGCAGACAAAGGCTAGAGCAACGTTGAAATCGTATATCGTCGGAATAGTGGAAGCGGAGCCCGACATAAGTCTGTCCGGGCCAGCAATAGTCGTATTTCCCGTGAAAATATACGACCCACTTCCATAAACGAGAGCGGCTCCAGGGCTGGGGACTTCAACACTACAGCCGCCCGCGCAATTCACCGACATCGTGTCCTGGGTCCCGACCAAGTTCCCGATATCCCCCACCGTCTG